TCCCTCCTTCCTTCCTTCCTTCCTTCCTTCCTTCCTTCCTTCCTCTCTCTCTTTCTTTCTCTCTTTCTTTCTTTCTCTTTCGACAGAGTCTAACTCCATCACACAGGCTGGGATGCAGTGGCGCAATCTCAGCTCACTGCAACCTCTGCCTCTCAGGTTTAAGCGATTCTTTTGCCTCAGCCTCCTGAGTAGCTGGGATTACAGGTGCTCACCACTACACCCAGCTATTTTTAGTAGAGATGGTATTTCACCATGTTGGCCAAGCTAGTCTCAACCTCCTGACCTCAGGTGATCCACCTGAGCCTCCCACAGTGCTGGGATTACAGTTGTGAGCCACTGCATCTGGTCAGCTTTGCATTTTCTATGCAGCGTGTGGGCCCTGCACCACTGGCTTCGGCACTGCCTAGTGCTTACAGGAAAGACAGGACCGCTGGCCTCACCCCAGGCCAGGACCGCTGGCCTGCAGCTCAGAATCTTCATGTTAGCCAGATCCCCAGGAAATCTGTGTAAGTGCTAAAGTTCGAGCTGCTTGCATGTGTAGCTCATGCTGGGACTAGACCAGGCTGAGATGCTCAGCCCTGGGCTCTGCCTCAGCACCACCTGAAACGTGAGGACCCGGTTTGGGTCTCCATGGGAAAAACGCGATCCTAGATCTCACCTTGGGGGCCTGCCTTATTGATGAGATTCTAGAATCTCTGCTGCCTGGGGCAGGTGGAGGCCAGGTAGGGACCAGGCCTGGTCCTGATGAGCAGGATAACTCTGGTTGCACCAGGTGTGCAGGGTGTGAAGAGAGTCCAGCCTTGGAAGAGGCAAGAACATCAGTGGGGGCACAGGAGGGGCAGAGGGATGAGGCTAGGAGGCTATTTCTTGTCCTCAAGCTTGGATGGAAAGTGCTGAAGCCTGGGCCCCACCCCAGAGATTCTGGGTGGGTCAGTCTGCGGTGCAGCCTAGGCAGTGGGAATTTTTATCACTCCCGGGGAACTCTGTGTGCAGCCCAGCCTGAAAGCCACTAGGAAAGCTCTCCTCGTTGGGCTTCTTCTAGGTCCGGGGTGTGTGTGCAGGTCCATGGGCACCTGTCCTTGGACGTGTGGGGGGCTGAGGAGGGGAGAAAGTCACAGTGGGAAGGGGTCCCCTCTGGACTGGCTTCGACCTCGCCTCTCTATTTTTGGCGAGTGGGAGCATGCCATCCCCTCTCATCTGGAGTGGAGCCCACTGGTCTGTTAACAAATTCTAGGCCTCAAATGTCCCTCCTCCCGCATCCCGTGGGCTGCCTGATGGGGGAGGAGCTGTGGCCATCTCTTCGGGGGACTCACCCCCCAGGGCCTGCGAGCTGGGTGGGAGGGATGCCTGGAAGAGGCTTTGCAGACTGCTTCATTTCAGCTCCAAGGGCTCTGCAATACCTCCTGGATGGCGGTGGGGTGGGACATCTAAAGTAAAAGTCTGCCTTCCTCTTTTAAGGAACTGGTTTTTCTGAGATTTTCCCTGTTAGTTGATGAAAATGACTATTTATTAGTGCTTAGCAATTTACAAGCAGTCAGAACATGGGGAGGATATGGCCCATTCTAAAAACACTGACAGTAGGGATAGGACTAAAGACGCACGCCCCCACACACAGATGCACACACACAAGACATGAAGACACACATACATGCACACACAGACACACAGACACACGTGCATACACATGCCCACACAGATGAACACACATAGATGCACACACACAACACATGCACACAGACACAGATGCACACACACAAGATGTGCAGACATACACGCATGCACACACAGAGACAGACACATGAGCATATACATGTCCACACAGATGCACACACGCAACACATACAGACACACACATGCA